ACTAAAAATAAAAATAGTAGCATTCAAACCCATAACCAGATAAAGAAGCCTCCAAGTTCTCAAAATTTTCATTGTTTTTTGCATTCCTAATTTCAAAATGTAATTCATTGTTACTAAATTAAATAACATAGGTTTTAATTTTTTTGGATCTTTTGTTGTGCAATACAATCAAAAAATGCTTGATTGTGTTACTTGTAGAAAAAAGTTGATGTTGCAAGAAAATCATTTTAACATATTCGATGTCTTGACATTCACAAGCGGTAATGAGTGTCATAATTCAACTGACGATTATGTATTACTACTCTAAATAATGTAATTTTTTGATTTGTGGATCATATTTTGTGAAAAGTAAGGAAAAATTATTGTTATTATGAAAGAAAAAATATTTTATTGATATTACTATGTAAAAAAATATCTCATTAATGTTACTATGTAATATATATCCTCCTGAGTTTTGTTAAATTCGTTGTGTTACTGTGCATAAAAATTTGATGTTTCTGTGAAGAAAAAAATAAATGTTACATTAAGGTGTGCAATTGTTATTGTAAAGGTTTGTATTTGTTATTGAACGAGAAGATATTTTTCTAACAAGAGAGAGAGAAAGAAAGAATATAAATTTTAATTTTAATTTAGGAGTAAATTAAGGGATAATAATTTCTAATTTAAGAAATTAATTAAAGTAATTTTCAAGATCTTTAAGATTTCTATAACTGAACACAATAATACTATTTAGGGTATTTTTGGGATTTAAAAAAATAGTGGATTTAAGTACTTATTAATAAGATAAAAAATGGACTTCACCAAATAAATTTTCTTGACGAATTCAAGTTATTATAAGTCAATTCCAATTTTTAGCTTTTTAAAGTGTTGAATGATCAAAAGACTTAAAAAAAGCTTAGAGCTAAATGGGCCTTGAGATATAACACAGGTACAGCCACAACTACTTTTATAAGTTCTGCCTTCACTCTGTTTTTCTTTACCATGGAGAACAAAGTTGACCTCTCAAACCCATATAACAAGGAAGAGCCCGGATCATTTACCATTAGATGTGATTGTTGTGGCTATCAAATGGTTAGTTTTGGGCCGGGCAGGTATAACTAACTCAAGATAAAATGAATCGATATTTAATCTACGTTGATGACTTCAAATAATTTATTCATCAAGGACACATGTCATGAGGCCTATTAGGAGATATCTATGTTGATGAGTATAAATTTTTTTAGTCACAAAGAATCAATTCAATCACACGATCTTGAATATGAATTGCAATCCGATTCATTAATATCCCTTAGTTACATTAAAGGGCAAAATAGTTTCTGGGTCAGTACAATTTGGATAAACCCCAAGCTCCCAACACAAACGACAACAGATGGGCCGGGTCATGCGCATTGTCTGCAAAGGATTCAGAGGAGAGAGAAGGGACTCGAGAACCCAAAAAATGCGACAATTAATGAGAAGACTGAGACCAAACATCAACCTGGAAATCACAGTCATTCCTTCGTTTGCATTCCTTGTGGGCATACATTCTAAACTTGCCTCCATAATTATCATTTACTTCTACAGGTATTTTATAGAATATTACCAGCAGTGATCACTGCTCTCGCATATCCTAGAAATAGAGAGAGAGAGATAGCACTCTCTCTCTCTCTCTCTATATATATATATATAATATGTATATGCATATGTATAGATAGCACAAGAGTACTAAAAAAAAAAGTTCAATCACATATTGAAGAATTATTATCATAAAAGTGATCACTGAATTAATAAAATCAAGTAAAACAATAAAATAATATAACTTTTCACGTGCCATCTCACGATTAGATTAAAAAAAAAAGGAAACCGTAACAAGATTCAGGTGCAGATATTTTTGAATTGTGATGTCACAAAGTTATCAAGGTCAGAAAAAATTGCTGCAACTCTCTAGCCCAAGGCCTCTAGTTGTGGAAAAACAGGTTTTTGCTTCATTCTGTCTGTTATCCCTAGAAACCTTCCCCACCATTTCCTTCTTCCATTGTCACTTCTTTTTCATTACTATGTTTAGGAACATATACTACGCACCCATTGCCATTGCAGGCCTTCCCTTGACAATAATTGAGCTGCCACTGTTTATGTATTCATAGATGACCCATCGTTTTCAAGAGCTTTCTAGTTGTAGAAAGTGGCTCAGAACCCTAACACCTCTATTTAAAGCATGTCATTTTTCCCTTTTCTGTGTTTCGTGGTGTTTTTTTTTTCAAAGCCTTTAATTAGTTTTGGGAATAGGGATAATTACAGTTAAAATCTCCTATGATTTCCAGAAGTTACAGGTATCCTCGTGATTTTTTAAAATTCATATTGGTCGAGGAGCAGGGAAAGAGTTCCTAGTGAGAATGGCATGCCATTAACCCTAAGAAGGGGAATTCAAGTAGTAATTGGGATAAATTATAAATTCATATGTCTTTAATTGTTTTTAGTTTGAATTTTGGCAATTTATTTGGGCCAAGCCAAGAAGATTTGATCTCTCATTAATATTCTAGCCCGGTGTGAATGACCTTTTTTTGACTAGATCAAAAAGGAGATTAGGTGAGATGTACATAAATTAGTCTAGAGAGACACCGTTAAACCTAAAAAAAAGAGAGAATGATATGCTACGTTTGGGGTTGGTGTGTCTGAGTGATTGAAAGAGAGAGATTTCTCATTTTTTTTTAATTCAAAAAATTGATATTTAGATAGGTCGCGGTACATATTCGACAAAGAATATTGTCTTTTACTACAATTGATTTTTATTTGTCGTCACATGTTTTTCACTATTTGAAAATAAAAATCACTTGTAAAATTGTGTAGTTAATACCTCCATCAACACCCTTAAAAAAAAAACCTCCATTAATGGACGTTAGTGACTTGGTGGACATATTCAAACAGTGGAATGTTCGGTAATTTCAAAATCATGAGGGTATCTCATGAAGTCGGTGCAAATTATAAAGATTATTTGCGTAATTATCATTTGTATGGGTTTGTTTGGCATATCTTGCCTCATTTTTTTATAGAGTAAAATGTTATAGGGACATCATTTCGAAAACTAATCCAATGCTGTCATTAGATTAGTTATAAGTTCTAATGTTAGATAGAGTTCAGTTTCAATTTTAGTATTGAATTGAATTAGGTCTCGAGATTAAATACCCAAAATATATCTAAATATTAATTTTCTTTTCCATATATGAAAAATAAAAAGAATGCCCTATTAATCTATTGGAAGTGGCTAACAACCATACACAATGGGTGCACCCAACGCATCATGACATATTTTGTCTCTATTATGTACCAGCAAACAACACACTATATAAATTTATTGCTCGGATATATTTTGTCCACTGGCAGCATGCCAATCATTTAAGAGAAGAATTTTAATGATAGATTATATTACATGTAGCTAATAGATGTGACTGTCTGGCTGTTGCTTACTTTGTTTTGTACCATGTATGAAGGCTATGGATGAGAATTAGATTATGGTACATGCTCATACAAAAAAGCTTGGGACATGATTGTACACTACTTGTAATTGATTAGGGACTACTTAGGGCTTACCCAGATTGTGAGCACAACTCAATCTATAAGGCTTCTGCTATAAAAGAATATGGGGCTAAATCTTATTTTTTCATGTAAAAAGATTATTTTCGTCATTTGAATTTATGGCGCTCAAATTTGGGCAAGTCTTGAGATTAGGTCGCAAGTGATTTATCTCTTATAAATACCTTAATTCTGACGTTGATGAATTATCTTTGATTAAATTGGAAAGAGGTTAATCGAAGTACATACCAACAGGCCTTTGATCCAATGATATTTCTTACTTAGTGAAGACTTTGTCTTCTTGAGGTTAAAGATTCAAGCCCCCTTCCCCTCCTAAAAAAAAAAATTTGAAGTACGTGTAAATTAATCCAAACACCCTAATCGTTAAATTAAAAAAATAATAATAAACATAGACAAGTGAATAAGTAAGGGTTATGTGTGATCTTCAAAGTCACCTACTATACGTAAGAAACTAACATATATTTAAACCAGAAGCACAAAGAAAAATTGAAGAAATAAAGTTTGAGTCAATACAATCACACAATGAATTGAGTCACATCACATGCCTCTAAATTTGCAGAGAGTTTGGTCCACCCTTCAAGACAAATGATGTGGCCCAACTCCAAACAATTCTAATCTTGCTTGTCACAACTTCAAATTATCTAAATCTCCAATGAGAATGGCACTAATATATTACAACCAATACATACATACTAAGCAACCTAAGCCACTATGTAGTCTTATGGAATCAACAGTAGGTATTACTATTTGTCAACATCTTATTATTTTTCACAAGAGAAAATGTCACCTCAGTTTAAACATTTGAAAAAAGTGATTTTCTTCTTCTGTTCTTTTGGACCTTTTGGTGAAACTGCAGGGAAAAAAAAATAATACAAACCTCCCAAGAAAATGAGACAAATATAACATATTGTAAGCAATACTTTTTTCCAACAAACAAAGCCTCTTTTCAAGGTTGTTTCTATACCCATCATCAATCACTGTTGTAAAGTCCAACACCCAATCTCAAAAGTAAACAGTCCTAAGAACCATCCAAAAGCCCTGTCCAATCTTTTTCAAAAGAACCACAACTGCCATGACTCATTCTTCTATCCGATCTTTCCCATTTCCTCCTCCTTATTATCATAATGTTTTTAAATCACCTCTATCCAGACTTCATAACCCGATCGGATGTTATATATTCAAATTCAAAATCGTGGAATATGATGTAACAGAATAATATTCGGGTAATTATTTAAAAAAAACAATTTATATTATGACTGAATTCGGCTCAAAAATTGAATATATTGACAGCCCCGTTTAGACCCACTTTTAAGTCGAGTAAAATGAGAATTGTACCCGCAGGTATAATCTGATGACAAAGATCGAAGACCATAGAAACAGAGAAAAAAGAAGAAACAAGATGTAGAGAAAATGGATTACATATTAGGGAACAAACACATACAATGAATAACAGTGACAACACTAATTACTCTTTCTGATGAAAAACACAAGCAGATTAAAGTTTCCTCTTAAGAACGGTCAGAGAACAAAGCTCCCAAAATCTCTGAGAACACCTCAACGATAATCTTATGATGATGATACGAATTGAGAGACAGAAAACAGTGCAACAGATTTTCAAGATCCTTTGCGGCAAAAATCTGTTTTTCTATGATCATCTCGACCATGGATGTCCTGAAATCGTTGTAAGGATCGGTCGAACGCTTCACCACCGGAAAACTATCCTTCACCTTCCCTTTTATTACTGGAATTAAACCCCTCTCAGACTCCTTCCTTGCAGCTATTCTGTGTCTATACTTCGAAGAGTTATCTCCAAAATGAGGTTTGTTTCGACCCAAAGAATCAGATGAATCAGAGGAGAGAGACTTTGAAGAGAAAAGCGTAGTCTTGTCATCGTCTTCATCACTGCTAAACCACCCATTATTTTTGCAGGAACCAAATTCACGAGAATCAAAGTTTTTACTCTTCAAATGGGTCTTCTTCTTCATTGGTCTTCTTGTTCTTTTCGCCTTTGGATTTGCTTCAAATTGTTTGAATTCATAGAATGAAATGGGTGATACAGGTGGACACTTCCGACCATCGCCGGCGACAAGAAGAGAATGTCTGTCCGACACTTTGCTCCTCGGAAACAAGTTCTTGTTCACAATGCAGCTGTGTTCTGTTTCATCTCTTTCAGGGTCTTTGGGTCTACAAATGGAAGGAAATGAACGAGGTTTTCTTGGAGAGAAAAGCTCGATCAATTGGTAGTGTTGCCGGTTCTGAGGGGCCAGAGCCGGTCGTTCGATCACGTCGGAGATGTTTTTGGACCGGCATGACCCGAATGATGAGCAGAACATGCTTGGGATTCGTAGTTTGAATCGGTTCTCCATGGTGGCGGAGAGAGAGAGAGAGGGAGAAAGAGAAGGGTTTTAAAGAGGAAGGTGGCGGAGGAGTGGATATATATGAAATGAAGGACAGCAAGAAACTGGAATTTTGAATTATTTTTCTGATATTTTAAATGGGTTCGATGGTGCTGCTCTTTGCTGTTTTCGTCTTCTTTCTTGTCTCATTTATGAATTTCTTGTTCTTTGGTTCAACGGTGGGTAGAAATGGCTCAACTAGTTTACGCACAATATTATTTTTAGTTTGATCAAAAGAAGACTATCAATGTCAAGACTAGAATATTCATAAGATAAATCTTTCAAGAGAATTGTTAAAATTCAAACTCAAGGCATTTGAATTTGTAATTCATCTCTGTTACTACTAAACTATCCCTCGAATACATTTATGAATTTTAACTAAATCTACATATGAATAATGTAGGGTAAAATTATGCGAATTGAGTCCATAACCAATTGAAATTTCCATTAAATTGTGTTTCAACTTATTTGAATAATATTGTTCTAATCACAATTTGTCATGTAAGTCACCTTGTGTTAATCAATTTATACCCGACTCATATATGAATATAGTGGGATTCGGGTCATGTATGAGTCAGATCCGTGTCGACCTAGTTTTTTAACAGGTCAGACCAGCCTATCTATTTACCCTTCAAATGTGTTATGTCCATGTTTTGCTGAGTTTGCAAACAATTGTCTAGGATTAGTAAACTCTACTTTTGTTCTTTTTTGTTGCAACTAGTAAGATTTTTAATATTTGCTATTAGAACTTAATTTTAATTTATTGTGGTCAGCAAATTAACGAGGTGTCTCAATATTAAATAAAATCTATTATTAACCCAAAAGTAACAATACATTAGATCATCAAATTAAGTTTCCAATTAGAAACAAGTAACATTTCAACCCCAAATTAGAAACATAGTAAATTCTACCTTTGTCAATTGTGAATTCCTTTTGAAGGAGGAAAGGAATCAAAAGGGTGGGGTTAATGAACTGCCTATTTGTGGATTGTTTTCTTTATATGGTTAGCTAGTAAATACCCCCTACTACTGTGCTACTACAGCATGTATGCATTGAGAAAGTGGGGACCAAGGGAATTAAGTGAAGTACTAGGGTAGAATTTAAATTCATACTGCAAAGAAGAATATACGTTTCAAGAAAGTATACCTATATAGACACTAAGACAGACAGATTTAGATCCTCTTCAATATATTTTCTTTCTATTTTTCTCATCGGTAGATCACTACTAGTGCGGAAACCGCTTATATAAGAGGCTCGATCTTGAATTTATATTAAATAATCTATCAGAGTAGAAATGAAAGAAAAATTTACTGTAAAGAATCTCACTCCAAAAAAATGTTGGTATATGAGTCAATTAATTTATTAATCAAAAGATGAGTGAATTTGAGTAGAATAATCGGATGTGGTTCTTTGAGACATTTTTTTTTAAATTTTTACGATAATATGGTAACTATCGTGTAGTGGTAAACTCACTTATATAATGGATCTTAATTATATTCATAATGTGGCTGAATCAATTGGTATGTGATTCAATTCTCTTTTTCTTTTTTCTTTTTTTTGGTTCAACTGTCAAGGGTATCTATACTAGTTTACTCGTATTTCTATTAATCTTCTCTTCAGTCCAATTAAAAACAAGGCATCTATACTATGATTAGAGTATTCATGAGGATCATTACCTGACCCAAGGTATGTGATTCAATTCATCTGAAAAATATGGGAGGATTTGATCAAAAGAATAACTAGGATCACGTTCCTCAATGGTCAAGCATATACATATATATATAGCAGTGACATTCTTTTAAAATATATACAATACTGTGAAGAATTACAATTTGATGCGATTACAAGGCTCGAAGCCAATTTTTTGGCACTAAAACTCTGTGGTGGCTTTTATAAATAATCATAAATATGAGGTGCGTCATAGTGGAACGGCTAGTAGGGATTAGAGTCTATACATACATAATACTCCAATTAATTAAATATAGTTTTCCTTCCACTAATATTGTTTTTTTCAAATTAAGCTTACAAGATATATCAAGTTACAAGTGATGGGAAGATGTGCGAGAGGCTTAATCAAAAGGACGTCATGTGTAACCTGAGAGAGAGAGAGAAAGAGAGAGTTTAAAGGTCATGGTTTAATAGTCAGGATAGGCTTAATCAAAAGGACTTCATGTGTAACTTGAGAGAGAGAGAGAGTTTAATGGTCATGGTTTAATAGTCAGGGTTGTCCGAATAAGTTTACGCATATCTCAACTAATATATTCTCCAATTTTGTTAAAGGCAAATCATCCACGCCGAAACTAGAATATTCATGAAAAATAAATCTCTTATAGCCTAATCTCAGAATATTATTAAAATTTGAATTCAGAACATTTGAATTTACAGTTCATTCTTATTACCATTTAAACTACGACAAATCTTTTATTAGCCATCGTCAACATGCTCGTGTGTTGTTCGAACTTCTCTGTTGATTAAAAAACAAACTGCATCTTAGAGAGCACTACTCCATCTCCCTCCCAATTCCCCAAAACCTATGTTTGAATATTCTCTCATCTCAAGAGCATCTTAAAGTCTTACAAGCTTCCAAACATACACAAACACCTCAAAGAGTGAAGCTTTGTGCCTTTACTGACCGAGTCCTCCTTCCAACAGCTAACAGACAGATTTGATTATAGAATGATACAGCTTTTCAAAATTCAAGTGATCTCAGTGACAAGCAGATATGAGCCATTGCCACTGCCACACATTTCCTGACTCCACTTTTCCTTGCTTTGTTTATCAACAGAATGGCTCTGAAAAATTCAAACCATTTGTCTATTTTAAACAGTACTATGACTTTTGGTAAGGTTGGTGTATATGTTCAGATTGGCATAGTTAATCCTAAGCAATGGTCATAACCATTTGACTTTCATGACTTTTATGTTCGATTAGCATAAATTAAGCCCTTTCAATATTTCATAACTTGCCTGAATTACAGAATAATAGCCTTGTTGTACAAGAGTACAAGGGCATTTACACCAAACTATGAGCCAAGGTTATTTTAATTTTGAATTCAACAAGAGAGAGAAAAGGAGAGGGGGGGGGGGGGGGGGGCACACGACCAAGTTGTATATATGAACAGTAGCATGCATGCTTTCTCTGGATTAGACATTGTTTGTGTTCTTAAAATATGCAACAATTGTCCAATTTAGTCGGTATGATATCAAGTTTTGAAACTCCCACCATTGTGGAGTCTGAGGAGAGCTTGATATATATGCATTTTTATCATGCATGTAGAAAGATTGTTTCTACGATTTGAATTAAACTCACAATGGAACAACTTATAGATGATATATTATTGAGAAAATAAAAGGAATATATACTTAAAGAATGCTTCTCTCATCTCCCACTCATAAATCATTAACACGTGGCTCTTTAAGAAACTATCTTTTACCTAATTAGATGAGTGGGTCAAATAGACTTATAGCATGGTTTAAAGTATCGAGTGATACAGATACGAATCGATTGAGTCATATTTGACTCGACACCTTTTAAGACAATACTGTTACATAATATGTATAAATCCCGAGTCTTAGATGACTCAGTTGATTCGTTCAAACCAATCCTGAATCATCGAGTTATCGTCACCGAATCGACTGATACAGTTCTGCGATACCGTAATATGACCTGAATCTATTGTCATGTTCAACATTTTTTTTTAATGTCGTATCACCCGATAGTGCGACACAATGTCACGATCGATGGGTCTCATAACTCTTCGAGTTGATGGTCAATACCACAACCTTAAACCATGCTCGCTAGTCGTGCCATGGGCTTGACCTTCTTTGTTAAATTCAAGTTTTTCCATATCAATTGTACGCAAGTGTCCTTGTCAGTTTCAACCCTAATAAGTCTATTGACTTTGATGCATTCCATTAGATTGAAAATCCTAATTTGGTAATGTCTGGCAGAAATGTTATTTCCTAACTATACCAATTACATATGGATGCTCTACCGGAAATGAAGCAAACAGTTGAATCATTCCACAGGAACTGTGAGACCGTGAGACGATGGAGAACTGATGACCACAAAACAAGGATCAAGCGTGGTGAGTACATTTGAAAATAATGGTTTCTAGTGTGTGTGTGTGTGTATTGATCCTTGTTATATCTGACCCAAACAGGTTTTTATCTGTTGGGCTAATTAAGCCAACAATTTGGAACATGTTGTCGATATCTTGATGTTTAGTATTTGTAGAAAAGAAAGTTCGTTAAAGGTTACAATGACAGTTATAATTGAAAAATAATGGAAATTGAGTCGCACGATCTCAAATTTATTGAAAAGGAAAAATTACATTGAATTCAAAATTTTTTTCTCACATCAAAAAAACTTCCCAGTTTTACTTTTAAGATAAAATGATGTGAATGATGATCTTTTCTCTTCATCGAATTTGAGATCATGTGATTTGCAAATGAATGTTTTTTGTCATTTTTTACTGTCAAAATTAACAGTTTGACTTAATTTACAATAATTTAAACTTTGAAGGGGTAAAACTAAAATCAGAGGGAGTTGATTGGATGTGACTTAAACTTCAATGGAACATTTTGTAATTCACCCTTTCAAAAATTTAAGGTATTTTTTGAATAGGATAAGATTTGTTGATATGAACAGATCATCACTTAAAAAGATTCAGAAGAGGGTAACATACTCAATTAAATATTGGAGAGGATCCCAACCCATTCTACACTACCTATTACACTTTCCATAAACTTTTATAATAATTATAAAGTACTTATATACATTATATCTAGGGTGCAATTAAGACCAACTAAATAGATTGAGATGCGTATCAAAACTCACCTTGGGTGCAATTTTGATGAACTAAATAGATTGAGATACATACCAAAACTCACTTTGGGTGCAATTCCGACGGACTAAATAAATTGAATTGCGTACAAAAACTCAACCCAAATTAAAAAATCCGAATACTGGTTTCAAGCACCAAAATAAATGATAAATAACAAAATGTATTGAAAAACATTATCCTAATATCCCATCAAATGCATAACTACACTATCTTTCACATATTTCCCTTGTCCTGTCTTTGCTTTTATCTTTATCCTCAAAGATTGCCCCAATATCTTCCAAGCTTTTGCCTTTAGTTTCTGGCAAGAAGAAGTAAAAGAAAATAGTAGCTAACACCATGATTCCTGAAAGCACAAAAAACATTCCTCCAAAACTTATCTTCCTTGAGATGGTAAGAAATGTCATTGCCACAATCCCACTGACCAACCGGTTCACTGACACCGCCAGGCTCGAACCTTGGGCCCGTAACCTCATCGGAAATATCTCCGATGAGTATACCCATGTGATGGGCCCAAGCCCGATTGAAAAGAAGGAAACGTCAGCACAGACAGCCACTACACACAATGCAATGGCCCACACGGGCTTAGGATCCGAATGCTCCAGGAACTTCGAGCCTAGGCCCAGCCCAGCTAAAGAAATTGCCACCCCTGTTGAGCTCAACAACAAGAGAGGCCTCCTTCCGAAATTATCCAAAAAAAGAGCTGATACCAAAACAAAAGAAGTCTTGGCTATCCCCATGATAATTGTAACCCCAACAAGCACTTTCCTTTTGTGAATTCCGGCAGCCTTGAACACTTCCGGCGTGTAGTAAATGACGGCGTCATTGCCGGAAGCTTGCATGAAGAAGTTGATTCCGATGGCAGCGATCAGAATCCGGCGAAGCGGCCGAGAGGGTCTTAACAGTTCCTTCCAAACCCCTTGCCCATGCCAATTACTTGAGGTTGAAGTCACAGGTGATTGGCTCGACCCCGGGCTACCAGCCGCCGTACTTGTGACCACAAACGAAGCTGCTTTGGTTATCTCCTCAAATCTTATCTGAGCTTCTTCTTCATTTTCAGAAGTTTTTCTCAAAACCATCTTCGCTTCATCTAGCCGGCCTTTCATGACTAGCCACCGGGGAGACTCCGGCATGACCATGACACCAGCGGCGATTCCAATTGCTGGAACCCCCGCGAGACCAAGCATTAATCTCCAATTTATATGCGGTGGTAGACCTGATAGCGCAAAGTTGAATATATAACCTAGTAGAATACCTACATTGATGAATACTTCAGGGAGAGAGGTGAGGAAGCCTCGTGACATGGCCGGCGATACCTCGGCCGTGTAGACCGGAGCTATCATGAGGGAGTAGCCGACTCCAATGCCGGCAATGACCCTTCCGGCCATGAGGAATGCGAATGATGGTGCAAACCCCATTAAGAGTGCACCTAAAAAAAATGTGGCTGCTGCCAGAACAATGGTGTATCGCCGGCCGATCAAATCAGAGGTCTTGCCGGAGACGAATGATCCTATCAAAGAACATACATTCAAAGAACCCACCAAGATCTCTACTTGTGTGGATGTGATCTTAAGGTTGTCCCTGATGTATAGTACAGCTCCACTCATCACCCCAATATCTGCACATACCAATTTGCTTAAATACAAATGGTACACTATATACAATTGAAGGAAGAAAACAGTAGACAAATGAGTATGACCCATAACATGGTTCAATTCTAAGTCCTAAGATCTACGTTCACGACAAACCAAAAAATTATCAGACAACAAAACAAACGATCAATTAATTATGATTAAATGGGAAATTATTAAATCATGTTGTGATTAAGATAGAATCAACCATCCCACCAATAATTCCATTAATTTTTTCCATCAATCATTGGATCTTCAACGAGTATAGACCTTTATACAAAATGTGTATGTGAGAGAGAATTTATGCAGAATGGTGATCTGTCTATGAAAATTTTGGAAGAAGAAAAGGATTGAAACTAGGATCTTCAACAAGTAGAAACCAGAAGCATACAAATACAGAATATGTATGAATGCGTCGATCTGCTTCTCTACTGTTAATCGTTTTATACCAAAACAACAAAATTGTTTCAATCAACAGCAACCCTGAATGTGGAAACTAGGGAATAGGAAGAAGAAATAGGATTGAAATTGGAGTTACCATAACCCAAGAGAATAGAGTTGGTGGAAGCCAAGACAGCACAGGTAAGTGCATACTTGTTGATACGAGACCTTGTGTGGAGTACTGTTTGGGGTTGAGATTCAGGTTGAATGGTCTCCATTGGAATCACCTCAGAAGCCTCCATTTCTCTTCTTATTTATGTGCTTCGTTGGATCTGTTTTTCTGTGGGGAAAAAAACAAACTCTAGTTGGGTATTAAATGGATTCTGAGAAAATAACATAAGGGATGAGGAACAGAAAAGTGGCGTTTTTCTAGGAAAGAAAGACACGTTCCTGTGGTGATTTATCCATATACTCACTATGTGGCACTTTTTTCTTTACCGAATATTTTGTCTTATCCGGTAAAGGATTTCACTTATGCTGCGGAATTTTTTTTTTTTATCTAATTTAATAAACTTATGTGGGGATGCGGTGGATCACAGCCGTTAAATTAATAGTAAATTTAATTAATAATAAAATTTATTGTCAATTTAATGGTACAGAATGAAAAAATGGGACCCAATAATCTAATAAATCAGGATGGTTGAATAAAAATAATGGGACCCAATAATCTAAGGATCTATATTGATTTGGTAGTTAAGATTTAGTAAACTATTTGAATAAGTGTGGTCGTGTTGTTAATTATGTGCATCATATTAGGATTTTGGGATAAGGGTGAATTATGTGTCTTCTCTTTCCCTGAACGCCACTTCTCTAGCCACACAGCTCAGCAGATTCCCAGTCTTCTAATCTCTAGACTTGTGCACATTCTTGCGCTCTATCCACGTCTTCAATGGATGAGAGTCAAACACGATAAACTCAAATTTTAAATATTTTTTGCAAATTTTTGCGCGCTAAAATCATCCGCCGTCCGTGGGTGGATGACCCACGTACGTAGTAGATACACTTGAATTTTTATGAAAAATAATTTATTATTAAGTAAAATTGAATAAAAATATGTTGGAGTAGATCTAAGTTCCAACTTTGTTATAACTATGGACAAGAGCGGCCCAACACAAATTGGGACATAAAATAAGAAAACATTTTACAAAAATATTTTCAAAGTTTTAATGGCTTTGGGATTGAGATAGGATCAAATGTAATTGTGAAGTCAAAATTTTACAGATGAATAAAATAAAATAATAATATAGCTAAAAATACGGACAAAAAAATCAAAACAAGACAATGAGGCTGAAAGGGAGAGAAAGAGTTGGAGAGAAGCGATGAGAGTGGAGGAAAAATTATTAAAAAATTTTGAAATTGTTACTTTTAAAGGTAAAAGTCATTAATTTTAGATTTTTTTAGAAAACTTTGTTATATTTTAGAACTTTTATTTACATAGACTTGTGAAAAAATTATTACATTTTAGAGTTTTCTATAACGCTTTAGATAGACTTGTAAAATATATATTGTCCTTTAATTTGGTCATTTCAAAAAGGTCTCAAAACTTGAAGTTAAACGAAAAGTTGAAAATTAAATTGAATTTCTAAATTTTTTAGACTCTAGACGACTATTTTAATGGTCGGGTCCTAGGGCCGGTCTTACTGTGTCTCCTCTTATTTAAAAGATTGAAATATTTGTGCATCTCGCAATAATTATAGTCTTTACTCATCCCTCACTATGAAGTCTTTGTTTATGAAATTGATTAAGTGAAACAAATTGATTATTGGATGATGTGCAATGATTAAAAGTAATATATGTATTATTTTATATTTTATGCATTTTTTTATTGACTGTTATAAGGTACTATCACAATAAAGATATTCAATATTATAATGTGATGTCACATAATTTTTTTGTAGTAATTTAGGCATCTAATATATAGTAAACAATATTAAAAAAAATTTATATTAACTAGATTTTATCGTGGATCCTTTATGATACTGAATAATTTAATTAGTTGGTATTGTTGTCCTCAAATAAAAACAAAATTGAGTTTAATAAATAGTGTTTTTTTGGAAGTGAGACACTTATTATATTTTTTTATTAAAGTGTTAATCTTTTTTTGCCCTTTAATAAGTGTAAACTGTACTTTTGGACGTAAATTTTAAATTTTATTTTTTTTGACATAATCATTTAAAAAAAAATTTGTTAAGCTAAATTATAATAAAATATAGATCAAAATATATTTGATCTATATTTTATTATTGACGTCTGAAATTTTTTGGCCTTTTTTATTTGTGGGGCCTAAAGCCCATACTTTTTGGGCTCTACTGTTGAGCCGGCCTTGACTATGGGCTGTGTTCACGCCTGAGAAGTCGGACCTCCATTCCCGTGAGCACCCTTGATAAAGAGAGCAGTATCTTATAGGAAAAACCCTTGCATAAATACACCCCTATCTCAATAAAACATCAACTACATATCAAGCTGTCCTTGGACCATTCAATTCAAAAAAAAAACCTATTGTGAGGACCTATATTACATAAAGATTTTTATGGATCAACTACAACATGAGATTTGGTTAACAAATTAAATCCAAATATCACCACATTCATACGATCATATCGATGTTCTACTGAAAATTAGATAAGTAGTGTAATCCGCAAGACTCGAACAATATACCACGGTTAAAAATGGAGAGAGTACAATTTTTACAAGGGTGTACACAGCTAGCGTACAAATCCTCACACTAAAGTGACCCATTCAATGTATCATATTACCTGTGCATTATCAAGATATTGAAAAAATTCGGAACTAACATGGGAGATCCAATTGACTGTAGTGCCAAAGAAGAGTTCCCAAAAACAGAGATCCAATGCAAGGACAGAAGAGAAGATCAACAGCGCCAGAGTCTGATATCGGTTTAATGGCCAACCCAGGACTTCTGCCATTGTTTTCAAAAACGGAAGGGAATTGCTCTGTAGATTCCTGTTCCTAATCGACCAAGCTGTTATCCACTGCACCGTCGATGGGATGAGGTCAAACTCCTCTCGCATTCGCCTACCCAAGTCCGGCATGTGACCACCCCCGTACAGTATAGCAATCTTATTGTGGCCCTCATCAATTGCTTTTCGAAGTGCTTCCGCTGCGGCTCTGTTCCTCTCACCGATGATAACAGATCCCTCCTCTACATCTGCTGTCACCAGCGTGAACCTACAAATACAATAGCGTCAGATCAATGCCTCCATTGTAGAAAAACAGCATCACCGAGCTATCCCCACATTTTGTTTACATTTTCCAATAATCACACAGAGTGTCATACAAAATGGACCACAAAAGTCATATAAAACAACTGAACTTTTTCACCTAGCAAATGCCGTGGGAGGAACAATGTTATTTTCACTTCTAGTGAGCCACAAAAGGCAAAGAAGATGTGCTCAAGGTCTTGGCATTCAACAACGAAACTTTCGCATAAACATACCAGATAGGAAGCATAAAACAGTGTAGTTTTGATAGCTTCAAAAAAATAGATGTGATGCACTTGCAATTTCATGAGCTAAAAAACCAAAAGCATACTTTGATATTGATACAGTTGATGAATTCAAGGTAGAACATGGTCATAACAAGACAACCATGACAAGAACTATGCTAACCCAACAAGATAATGACGTCCTATTATCAATACTCCATGCAAGAATATATCAAGCAACTGCTTGATGAGGGTGACTTTGAGTTCGAAAACCTAGCATATACTTACTCAGATGTTAGCCTCCTTGCCAGGAAGACCTTCATTGCTGCACCAAAATCGAGCCTGGACAAGGCTTCTAACTCTGGATACTCTGATGCCGGATTTTCCACATCCGTACATACACTACCAATGATGACAAGGCCAACAAGAGGCATGGGTAGGACACGAGAAGCCCACAGAAGTTTGGATCTCCAAGGACCAAGCTCGTCTGGAATTGAAGCAGACTGTACAATAGCTTTTGTTGATCTAAGAGTCATATCTCTTGCAAATGTAAAGAAGCTCTCCCCTTTTTCAAGCTGGAAGAGAGGATTAATAACAGCAAATTACAATGCCGTTTCCAAACTAATAATAGCAGGATATCATTTCAACAGTATACATCACTTGATTATCTATGTTTGTGAGTGACATCACTGACATTTATTTTAGCCTCGTTTTACCCTAATAAAGGGATGCATGAAATCAATAATGGCATGGAACGTGAAGACGTAGACCCCTGTTCAATTTGTGGACCAGCCTTGGAAAACATTGAGGGCTTCAGTGAGCCTCCAGAGATAAAGAATTCATGCATTTTGCAGACTAAATATAGAGAATCCAAAAGAATACAAACCTGAAGTAGTTTGAAGGTTTCAAAGTCGAGATCTGCATGGTACCAATTCTCTGCCTGGTAGTCAAGGCAATCTAACTGGAAATCAAGCATAAGAAGTCTAGCCATCTGCCGCTGAATGCATCCAAGAATATTAAAGCCCCGTGACCGTTGACCTTTGAGTTTTTTTCTAGCAGCATGGTTTCTTCTGCTCTCTAAACTATCCCTACTAGCCACCATCTCGTACAGGACACAATCGTAGGTTTCAAGTTCCTTCTGCAGCGTTGCAAAGTACCTGGAAGCAGGATTCTGATCATTCAGGCTGGTCTATCAAATAAGATTTTGCAAGCAAAGAGGTCAACAAAACAAAAATCAATACTTGATATGTAAAAGAGTTAACATGGTCTTTTATCAACAAAAAAAAGAGTTAACATGGTCATATTTTTCCAACAGAGTACAATTTCGACAAATAGGAAAATACTACGATCAGAAACAGTAAACTGAGAAACATGCAGTCCTCAGGAAGAGAAAAATCTTGGAATTGTGACCATTTTCAAAGCAATGCCAATTCTGCAACTGTTTTTAGGTTGGGGTAATGTTTATTCATTTTATATGTGTTGTCTTACATTTAGAAGTCAAGAGTATTTTAATTATGCTGGTTTGGGTTGCAGTGGTCTCTTGCATTCGATGTGGTTAATAAGTTATTGGCTTGTAGTAGGTGGGCCATGAACTTAAGAGTTTCATATTAATTTTCTTTGTCAAAATCAATGAGCTACTAACACAGAGTCTAAGTCTTACATTCAAGTCAAAGTTTTCCTCGAATGTATAGCTATGTGATGTATTCAATTCAATAAAGAATAGAGGATCTTCAGAAACATTTAGATCTCTTTGGGATGGTGAACAAAATTCTAACCTCAGGTGTGTGTCTTTGGAAATGTAGGTGTGATGCCTGTACATTTTCTTCTTTCTTATTTCTCTGCACTTTAAATATTCCAAAAGTCCACCCCACATACGAGAACCACAATTCACTTTTAAAACCCTGCTTAGCAAGCCCGACCCATTATTCTACAACCATTTAACTATAGCACCCCAAAATGAGCCAAAACACCCACAGTTACAGTTCACAACAGTTCATTTTGTCCCAGAATAGGCCCACAATATTGTGATCTTTTAATATTATAACCCCCATAACAGTGCAATTCCTACAATTCCATGGAGTTGCACACCCCAAAACAATGAAAACCAACAACAATTAGCCTCATAAACCCCCTTTAGCTGTTGCCATTCATCAATTGCTGGCTGGATTGCAGTGATGACTATGCATTCCATGTAGTTAGCAGATAAGTCACTGGCATGTAGTAAGTGGACCATGGACTTTAACAGTTCCATACAAATTTTCTAAGTCAGAGTCAATGAGCTTTTAGATATGGAGTCCAAGTCCTATACGCATCAAAATTTTCCTTTAATGTATGGCCATGTAATGCCGTCCATTTAAACTAAAAAAAAAAAAAGTTTTAGAGGACTTCTCTTTGGGATAGTGAATAAAATTCTGACCTTAGGTGTATGTCCATGGAAATCTACGTGTGATGCCCATTCATTTTCTTCCTACACATTTTTCTACACTTTAAATTCTTCAAAAGTTCACAACCAAATTTGTCTAATAATTGCAAGCCTGCTTAGCGAGCCTAACCCATTCATTTTACCACCATATTACTATAGGATCTCAAAATGAGCCAAAACAACCACAGTTAAAGTTCACTATTGCTCATCTTGTCCCGGAATAGGCTCAAGATATTTCTTTCTTTTAATAAATTAACTCCCACAACAGTGCCCCTTTCTTACATTCATGTAATCCCTCCCTTAACAACCAACAACAAATAGCCTTGTAAACCCATTGCCCTTCATCAATTGATGTGGCATAGCTAGTGGGATAGTATTTGCCTTCACTTGTTCCACCTCATATTATGCAAATTAGCCTTGGAATTAACAAAATCCAAAACCAAAACATATTTTTGTTCTTTTTTTGGATATATCATTACGATAAGTAAACTGCATCACATTATCATGAGTACACGAGCAATCACTTCATGGAAAATTGACCAACAAATTGAGCAGGAGTGCATTCTAGGCATGCCATCTTTACATCGATTTTATGCAATTTTATATCCACTACTATATCATCTCACTCACTTATTTTTGCACCTAGCCAAAAGCTGGGCCAAGGGCACAATTCACAAAGACACAACACAAACAGTGAGGAAAAGGAACAAAACAGAAATTACAGTGAACACATTACAACATCAAATACATCAATAGCTAACTGAGCAACATCAGCACATGGTTTTCAATTTAAATCAGCAATTTCTAATGAGACACAAAATGTTTTTGGGGAATTGAAAGGATATTTCGTTTATGTATTAAAAGCCACACGAACTTAAATGTAGTACAGTTTCTGAACAAATTCCAAACTACACTTGCGACATATCCAACCACAGAAACGAAACTCATCTAAATTTTAGTCAGCAAACTTACTCTTTATCCGCAATGTGTATAGTCGAAACCAAATCAACCTACAGAATATAAAGAACAACAAACCATACAATTAGGAAGAAGAAAGTAAAAAATCAATCAAAACTAACAGCTTTTTCACTCCACAGAAATTACCTGAAGAAATGGTTGAAGAAGCGACCAGGGAAACTTCTTCCGGTAACTAACAACGGCGGTCTGTAACTCCGCATTTTTTACTCCATCGGAGTTTGTGCCTCTCTTGAACCTCATGAAATCAGCAATCGAATTGTTCTGTAAAAATTGCTCAGCGGAGCCATAATCTATTAGAGATTGTTTCGATAGAACTTTGAATTTAGGAATTCGAGTCGGTGCAAACCTAGAGCACCGTTTAGAAGAAGTGGTGGTGGTCGTAGAAGGTGAACGGTCGGTTATGGACTTCGAAGGAACTAAAGGTGCTGTTGAATACAAAATGGAGAGAGAACTACGGACCATACCTCTCTCTATTTCTGCTTGTGTGTGTGTGTGTGTGTGTGTCAGAGAGAGAGAGAGAAGGTAGACTGGGAGAATGGATTGAAGATCTGGTGAACCAGAGTCCGAGAATCTCCGCAACCCTGGTTCTTGTTTTCGGTGTTGCTATTGTGCACACTAGTGTGCCGTGCGCAATTCTAAGGATGAAAAAATCTTTCGAAATTCGGTTTTCCACGAGTCGTTGGATTTAGTTTCAATTTTAAAAAGAAAAATACTTTCTTGTTGCAAGGCTTAGGCATCTCTCGCTCTTGCCCTTGGTGATTTCAATCTCGGAAGAAGGTCAATCCGAGATAGTAATTGGATCAGTGAATGCCACTCCAACCCAATGTATGATGGTCAAAAATAGTCATGGGCCAGTCCAACCCAATGTATGACGGTAATAAATAGTCAATGGATAAGTTATTATCCGGCCCATGCATGTGCTCGGACCCATTAATTATAATCAGAGTTAGAGCCGACCGGATGTCAATACTTCCATTCTTGGCCTTACCTTCCACCAATTTTTGGCCTTATATTTTGAACTTCTTCATTCGGCCACCAACCTGTCCTGACCTAATCAATGGACCATGGCCCATGGGTCCTATAACAGTCTTCTTAACTACCAAATGTTGCAATGACAGACGATGAAACTTTGTTTATGGTACGGAAAATTAAAATTATGCCGATTTTTATTACATTTGTTGTTATTTTTATCAAAAGTGCATATTTTTATTATATTAGCAATGCACGATGTGCGCATGTGAATATATTTAAATAAAAAATTTTAATAAAAAATTAATAAAATTATTCAAAGTGATTTTTTTAGAAATTCTTTAATATTGCTAATTTTAGCTCTTCACTTGAAGGCTTTGTTGTATCCTAAAAGTAATTTGTCAAAACCCTCTAACAAATTCTTTGAGTAAGACAACTATCACTTTAAAAAGAGTGATTTTATTTGCCTCAAAATCTTGAGTATATTTTATTTTCAATCTACTCAAGCCCAAATTTTAAACACCAATTATTCTCCCTTGTTCGGTCCAACACAAGGGTAATGCTTCCATACAAGGCCTCCTAAGGTATCATTTTACCACTGGCCTAGAAGGTACTATTGACACAAATTTCACCATTTATAAAATTGAAAAATATGTGGGTATAATTAACTTTATAGTAATAATTAAGTGTGAAATAGAAAATTAAAAGTTTTTCACAAATACATGTGGGTATAATTGATTTTATGATAATAATTAAGAATGGATAGAAAATCAAAAAAAAATTACAACTGCTGACATTTATAAATAGTATAAACATAAATATAGATGTATAAATTTGGTATTGCAAAAAATGATAAAAATACTTAGAAATATGATAAATCACACATAAAAGTAATAAATTTTTTGGTGATAAATAAATTCACAAAAATTATAAAATTAACAATTAAAATTAAAAAAAAATTAAAAGTATAAGAGAAATTTTTTCGTAGTCAAGTCCATCACAATAAGTTACTTTCCAACCTAATTCCTCTAATCACGCAGTTCACAAGGCTCTTCTATGATGTGAAAATGAATACAAAACATCAAGTAACTAAAACGTAACGACTTGGAAGAACTCTTCTAGAAAACGACTGATTGGACTGATACGTAGTAGTTTTGTGCGAAAACATAATATAAATTTGTTTGAATTTTTTATTTCGAATAGTTCCCTAATTTACATTTTCAGGATAATTATTATTTTTAATTTTATGACACTGCATTTTTTGAATTGCAGTTAATTAAAGATAAAATTGATAATTTTTAACCCGATCCACTGAACTGATCATGGATCCAAATTTATTATTATAAATCTAACATTAATAAATTTGTATCACAATTGAATTAATCAAACAGCTCCGTCCAGTATGATCACAACTTTAAATAACTTAAAACAGGTCACATAAAAGCTGAATAATTATTATAAGAACAATGCTACGTGGATTTAAAAATTAGACTTAATAATCTCAACCATTAATTTTACTGTAAATTCTAGTATTTATTGGGACTCACTACTTATTCAATAGTTGAAATTATTAAGTCTAATTTTTAAATCCATCTAACATTACTTTATTTTTTGATAAGTCAATGAAATAAAATTTTAATACCACACAAATATTTAATAATCCGTGATCTATTTTTAACTAAATACTTTTAGTGTAGAATTACTGAAAAAAAAAAGCAGAATAATATTTGTTTTTCCTTCTGGGTTGGGTCAAGGAAAGCTGGACGGAGGCGAATGTCATGCCACTAATCATGAGAATCATTAGACTAACGGCCCTCCATGTGAGATGAGTCCTCCCCCTACGCCCACCCCCACTCCCACTCCCACTCACGGGGCCCACCCACTTAAAATTAAGGGAGAGTTACATTCAACTCTTGTGAGATTTATTATTTAATTATTTAAACACTTAATATTTAAAATATTACATACAAACTCTCTAAAATTATACACGTATTACATTTTGACCCTTGTCGTCAATATTCGTCAGTATATCCGTTAGTAAATTATATTTAGACCCTTTAAAAATTTATAAGAGCGTAATACTTAAACTATTCAAGTTTAAAATATTATAATTAAATTAAAAATATTCTACTTAAAAATAAAATATTCAATATTTTAAATTTTATAACAAAAATTCATGTTCAATTGTATCATTTATTAAAATAAAATCAAAAATAAAAATTCAAATTTTTTTTAAATATCGTAATTAATATACAATTATACTATGTATTAGAATAAAATTAAAAAATCAAACAAAGGGTCTAAGTCATCCATAATAGAACATGAATTTTATAAATTCATGCTTTATTATATCATCATCTCACTATCACTGTCGCCCACCGTTAGAACTCACCAACACCATTGTTGCCCACAACCATCATCATTGTCCCACCACTACAACTGACATTTAAATTTCTTTCTCTCTTTCCATTATGTTTGTTATTTGATTTTAAGTGTGAATAGAAATATGTTTATTGTTGACATTTTTTTTTTATTATTTCATGTGTTCAGGCACAGACAATAACTAGTGTACGGATATAATAACTGAATAAGTGAAATTGTGTATGTAGTTGGTAGAATCATAATTATGTTATCACCTATGTTAGTTGTCTCGAATCTTTTCTTTTTTTTAAGTTGTCCTAAACTGTATTATAAAACCAATGCCACATAATTTTCATGAAAAACTACACTGGTATCCCCTAAGTTTGGGATACTGTTACAAAAATCCCCTAACATTTGGGAAATGATATAGAAACTCTCTAGTTTTTGTATGACACAATGAAAATATCTTCTCTCTATTTTTTGAATTAATATTTCAAATTTTGCATATTTTTTTAAAATTAGTTTTCAAAATTAATACAAATTATAAAATGAAGGAATAATGTCGTTCGAGTGGTGGGTTAGGTGTGTAACAGTGTAAGAGCATCTTGAATAGTACTTTATGTTCTAAAGAGAATTTTTAATAAACATTTAAAATAGATAAAAATTGAATTTGTACAAATTAAATTAGTATTCTCTATCCTAGCTAGTAGCTAGTAGATAAATAATCTCTGTAGTCAATAACACTTAATTAGACAAGTTTTGTCCTATAGATTCATTTCATATGTAAGTTACAACTTAATAACTCAACCATTAAATTTTAAAATCACATATTTGAATATCGTGCTTTTTTTTTTATCTGACCATAAAATACCTAAACCGTGGATCTTGATCACCAAGGTTTTGCTTTGGCCTATGTTGGGGAATATTGACCCAAAAGAACACCAATGACCAGGAGCAAAGCCAGAATTTCTTTTAAGTGGGAGCAACTATCAAGTTAAAGAGAACCGGAGGCAACCATCAAGTTAAAAGAGAATGATTATTCAGCAATTATTAAATTTTGTTGCATCTAATGAACATATTTATTATCTCAAAATTTTATTATCTATAAAAAAAAATTCATAATCTAACACCTTTTATAAAATAATTCTTCATTTTATTTTTTTTACTTTCAAAGATTTTACATATAAATACACATGAAAAAATGATAACCGACTATGAAAAACTAATATAAAATATTTTTTAAAGCATTAGAATAAAGACAGTTTTCATAAAAAATGCTATTTTGACATATTATTTTGTGAGTGTGATTATCAATAATAAGATTTTGACTTATCCAAATGACAATTTATCTTGAAAACCCTATTTTGAATTTAATCTAATTATTCAACTGATTTCATTATTTTAATCCATATTCGAATATATTAAATATTATGAATTTGATCAAAAATCCAATCTTATATATATCTCTGTGCGTGTGTGTGTGTTTCATTGTAATTTTTATTCAATTTAATTAATTAGTTTTATCAAATATTTACATATATATATATATATATATATATATATATATTTGTGTATGCATATCAAATTGAATCGAAGTGAATTGAATTAAAACATAATTAAATCAAATTTTTTTACATGCCAAAATCTAAAATCTTAGAAAATGATGTAACATATTTAAACTTAGATAATTGGTCAAAAATATATATCTATGTCTTAGTAATCGAATTCGGAGAAGGATTGATTCGGTAACTTAAGTGAGTCATTATAGAAGAAATAAAAATAATTAGAGATTAAATAAAAAATTGTGAGATTAAGTCTCTATGAGCGAACCTTGAGTTTAAATTTTTAGTGCATTAAAATAAAATGAGTGGGGACAAGTTATTAAAAAAATTAATTTTTATTATAATTTTAAATTAACCCTACAAATTTTCACCCTGCCTCCGCCACTGCCATTGACCTTTGATTTTGTCAAGTCAATGCCACCCTACAAGTTTGAACGTGTGCATTGGCATTACTGTAACTGCCAACCAGCTCATCGACGACCATTCTATCTGGAAGCAAACCGCCGGTTGCTTACTCATCCTCTGTATTTTTGCTTCAAAACTGTAGAGGTTTTCAACAGTTTGATTAATATATATATTTTGGGTCGGGTGATCAATTTAATCTCCTATTGATTTTTAAGAAATCAAGTTTAGTTGCTATATATAATTTGAGAGTGGTTGCATGAATTTAAATAATAAGTAATTGAGACAACTCACATTACTAAAATAAAATAAAAAATTCCATCATGATTTTCCTTCTTTTTTTTTCCTTGATTTTAACTAGCATATTCTCATATACTTTATAGAGATCAACTGTAAACTCAAATGACATAATTTTGAATTTAATAATTTTTCGGACTATATCATGAGAGATTTGCCTCTTAGGACTAGCTAATCTTAAAATGGATGGCTTGCCATTAATCGAGGTACACATAAACTTATTTGAATACATCTGATCATTAAACTAAAAAAAAAAAAAGACATTATTATCGTGACTTAAATTTATAAAGTCCAACTTTGCTATTTTGGTTAGACAGGCCCTCCTAGTTTAGGCATGCATGTTGAATACGATTAGACTACGTTACCAAATAAATAATCTTATCAAAAGTTAGAAGTAAATAAGAATTAGTTATGACTCATTTAGAATTAAATCATAACTAAAATTGAAGAAAATAAAAGTTAAAACGTCGACATTAAAATGTTTTGATTGATCTCAAAAAAATTTATTTTATCATAAATTTATCTTTATTTTAATAGTTTTTAATACACTACTTGTTATCGCCGTTTTACCTATTAATAAATATATATTAGTTTGCAATTTTCTTGGTTTAAATAGTTGAAGTTGGGTGATTGGTCCTACTCCCCTTCTAGTGAAAGCGCGTCGCCATCTTCATGTTCTGCGTCCAGCTGGTTTGCCTTTTACTTAGAGAAACAACCATGGATATAAAAGCAGTAGCAATATTAAAAAATTAGATGGAGGATTACCTAATCTTTGACATAGTTGTGACTAATTATATGATTTGTTTATTTCTAATATAACCTTTTTATAAAAAATAAAATAAAAAGAAAATGAGAGTTTTCTGGTAAGTTTTAGTTTTCCGAAACTTGGGTGTTATTTCTTTCCTACTTTCGAAACTCTTTTATTACATTATTGCAACTACTTTACAACTACAGTTAGAATTTTAAAAGGTACCTCAAGTGACAATAGAGATGAACTGTAAATTCATATATTCTGACTTTAAATTTTGGCATTTCTTTGGGGACAGTCCATGAGAGATTTATTCATTTTGAATATATCTTAATTAGGGATGACAGTGGACCGTAAGAAAACGGAGATTTGTCCAAACCCGCCCTGTTTGGACTAAGAATGAACCATACATATTGGATAGTGAATGTATACAAGAATACCCATGCAAAAATGAAAGCAAGGATAGACTGCCACTTATTGTTGTCCTACCTCGCTCCGCTATACCCATTATATATATATACTTCAAATCTCAAACAACTCAACCCTAATTCAATAATTCTCCTTGCCTCTCTTTCTCTCTCTTTCTCGTTTCTCGGTAATTTTCAAAGACGAAGGAAGAATGCAACTTGATAGAACCAAGACACCGCAAAAAAGATGTCGCACGATTCCCTACATTTTTCCTCTTTTTCTCGAAGGTGAAGGATGGGGACAGGTGGCAGGCATGGGGGCAAGGATTGGGATTTACCTGCTAGACAGGGATGAAGATTAAAACTAATCCCATTAACGAGAGTGAATCAGGAATGAACAAGCTTTTTTTAAGTGGATATAAAAGTGGAGACTGTTCCCCTCCCCCGCCTCCCGTCCACTGCCATTATAAACCTTAATCTCAACATGGATGATTTATCTTTGATCAAATCGAAGAGATAATTAGTTGAAATACGCGTAAACTAGCTGAACACTCCTTACCGTTGAACAAAAAAAAAAACTAACAAATATTTTGATTTAAAAGTGTGAAAAATCCGGTCAAAATACTAATTGAATGAAGGGTTACACTCTTCATATGAAAAATGCACTAGATCTTGGAATTTAAAAATAGTCCGTCTGGAGTGATCTTGGAATTTAAAAATAGTCCGTCTGGAGTGATTTTGCAGACTACCATCTATACTGGAGTCCAATGCTCCGTTACACTAGAGTCTAATGCTCCGTTCGGTAAAAATAATGAAAGTAAGAAGAATAGAGAATAAGAGAGATACACTTTTTATTATTTAAGAAATTAAATTATAAATAATACATTTTCATTCCTTTGCGTTTGCGTTTTCGTATGACGGATAAAAAATAAAAATGATTAATATTATTTTTTGGTGCTTTCTAAGAATAGGGGTGACAATCGAATCGTGTCGTGTCATTGTGAATTCGTGTTAAACATTATTCAAATTTAACTCAACTTATTTAATCAATCATGTTATATCGAATTTATCTGTTTATTTCTGTATAATATTCATGTTGACTCACATAAACTTTGAATAAAAAGTTTAATGCTAATATTTTATTTTCACTTAATTGAATTCATACTCAAATTTTTTTTATAAATTAAAAATTAACTTAAATAAAAATAACAATAATAATAATAAGTAAAAATATCTTTTTTATATAATAATTATGAAAATACTTAATAAATAGTTACAAATAATTAATATTTTATGTCTATAATACTAGTTAAATATGTTAATTTCGTATTACTATGCAAATGACAAAATAGAGAAAGTGTTTATTCTTAAATAAACGGGCTGATGATCTCAATTTTGGGTTTGACAGGTTGAACTGAACTGTTTATATTCCGTGTTCGTGTCAGGTCATTTTTGACTTCGTGTTACATTATAATTAAGTTCGTGTCATAAAATTTGTATTAATTTGGAATCTTGTTATCGTGTTGAGTCGAAAATTTCCACTCCTAGCTAATATGAAAAAAAAATTATTTTAATTTTTTTAAAAATATATATGAATACATATTTTTATCATTGTATTTATATATAAAATTAATGTATGCATAATATATGTATATATCAAAAGATATATACACAAATAAGATATATTTCATAACAAATAATTAACTTTTTATCGACTTTCTTTTCAATTTTAAAGGGATTGATTTTGATGAGTTTGAAGAAAAACTCATTCATCCACTTTTTTATCTTTCTTACTTTTTTTTTTTACCAAATATGATATTTTATTCATCTTTTCAACTTTTCATCTTTTCATTTTTCTATCTTACGAAACGAAATATAAAAATGATTGATTTAGACATATGTAATCTAAATTTGAAATGATTGATCTGTGAACTCAAGTCTCGACCTAATATTAAAGTAGGTGAGTTGTTAATTACCTTTCATGACACAATAACCTTGATGTGAAAACATGTATCAACATATATCAAGTGCTTGAATGTGAAGTTTTTCATAAAAAAAATAATGTCGTTGAGATCTAATTTAAAATTTTAATGTATTATGACCTTTGAATGAATAATAAATCACAACATTACATGAAGACTATTGCATTAGGATTTTTAAATTAAGTTTTCAGATTCGGTACAAGAAGTATTATTGTTTCCCAAAAACCTTCCTAAAAAGGATAAATTTATAATAGTTTTTCTATTTATAATGTCTATTATTCCATGTATATAATTGTGGGTGAAGATCTATATCGAATTCTTTCTTCCAGAACAATATGTTCAAAGTAAAATATCCGAGAAAAATCAAAATGTGATTGTGTAGAGAATTAAATTTTAGTAGCCATGTGTTTGGTGGCACCAAGAAAACAGCAAAGAATAGACAGAGAAATTATGGAATCATATTAGTAACCTTTCAATTAGCAAAGATCCCTATAATGGATACAGCAAATTCTTCAAATTTCCATTGGAATATAGAAGCAGAATGGTATTAACACGGCAGGTGGGACATTTTTATTCAAACTTGTAAAAACAGAGCAAGTTTTTCTTGGTCAAGTACTCTGTAATGACTGACACAGTAAGTACTCATTTTCCTTAATTTATTCTTTGTAAACCAAAGGATCGAGAATGAAACTTCAAAAGGTCAAAAAACCCACCCCCGGGGGTGGGGGGGTAAGTGTATATATGAGTGTTATTATCCAATATGGTCTAGTGGCATTGTCACTTTGCTTAACCGCGAGAAAGAATAGATTACCGTTAGGTGCTGATGAGCGTTTGGGGGAGTGGAGGACGGTGAGCGGCTTTCACACAATGGGTGGGTTTGAAATAGTTCTGTTGTTCATTATTCCCAGACAATGTACTAGGAAATATTATCAAATAATTATGTTTTAAAAAGATGACTCAATTATACATATAATATAATTTATTACTCAAGTCAAAGATTAAGTATAGGTGTTGTGCGGTGTTATAAAAAAATAGATTGAAAAGGAATAGTTATAGATAAAGATAATTATGGATGACTATAATAATACTTCAAATTACTTTGGAAGTCTAAAAGTCTAAGGAATCGTTTAGTTATTGTATTTTGATAAAATTGGGTCTCTTTCTTAATTCATCAATAATTTTGATGAAAAAAAGGGTCAGGTGAGCTTTTTCCAACTTAAAGGGTATGTAATTGTAAATTGTAAATTGTTTTTCGTTGAATACAGGTGGAAAAAAAATAAAAATATAAAAACGAGAAAAGGCAGGGCCGCCCCCAAACAAACGCAAAAACCTCCAATTTATCCAAACGAGTAAAAACCGGAGAAACAAGCGGCGCGGGCCCAGCCGCGTGGGTCCCGGTTTCCAACCTGTGTCCCACTCGATAATTCTCTCGCTCTTCTCCATGTGCAGAGAGAGAGAGAGAGATCCATTCCCATTCTTAGCTTTCAAAAGCAAAAGGCATAGAACACCCGCATAGACAAAACTCCCAACGACTATCTCCTCTCTCTCTCTCTCTCTCTCTCTCTCTAAAACAGCCCAGAGAGAGAACATAAACCAAGCACAAGAACAGAAAAACTCCGGCAGTCTTACCCACCCCATTATCTCCTTCTCTCTCTACATATATAAATAAGCTAAACATATTATTGTGTATATATCTATATAAGGTAATCGGAGAATGTCGTCACCGCCGCCGGCGACAACACCGGCTCCAACTCTACCACCAGGTACTAATAACACATCTCCACCACCCGCTGCTGCGACACCACCACCTCCAGCTGCGTCGCCGCCTCCAGCTAATCCAACACCACCAGCCACATCTCCGCCGCCAGCGGCCTCTCCTCCTCCTCCAGCCGCGATTCCGCCGCCACCTTCCACCCCAGCTCCCACCACCTCTCCGCCACCACCAACAACTCCAGCTCCCTCCACCTCTCCGCCATCTCCTCCATCTTCCTCTCCACCTCCTCCTTCCGATTCTACGCCGTCGATCCCTTCACCGCCAGGGACAGCGAGATCTCCGCCGGCGCCGCGAGCATCGACACCGCCGTCGACTTTATCTCCACCGTCGGGTGGGTCATCGGGAATATCTACTGGGGTAGTGGTGGGTATTGCTATTGGTGGTGTTGTGATTCTAGCTGTGTTGAGTTTGTTGTTCATATGTTGTAAGAAGAAAAGGAGAAGAGACCATAGACATGGGGATTACTATGTTCCTCCACCTTCTGGACCCAAAGGTGAGATCTTTTTGCAATTTACTGATTTCCAGCATGTTGTGATGAATGAGAAATTACATAAATTCTTCAAAGTTCTGATTTTGTTGTGCTTTTTTTCTTTGGGAATTTGTGGGATTGATGTTAAAGTTGATTTTGAGGTATAATTAGGAGTTTTCTATTGGATTTCTGGGAAAAATGTACCATGAGATTGCAAGTTAAATAAAAATGTATAATGAGATTGAAAATGAAATTATTTTAAGTAGCATAGATCTAGTCAGTATTAGAAATTTTTTAGTTTCAACAATCTAAGATGGGAATTTTTTTTCTTTGAGTTTGGATGCTTTTGGAACAAACATTAAATTAGGTTTTTTGTGCATTTTGTTTCAGATTGTAAAATCAGAATGATAATGATTTGAAATATTCCAATATTCAGTGGTTTTTAGAACCAATAAATGCTGACAAGTCAGCAAACAACTCAGCCTTCTGTGAAAAAATTTGCTTATAAGTCGTTTTTGTTATTTTCTTTATTCCTTTTTTGAATTCAGTTTAAGTGCATATTTTTAATTGTTTTCTCCTCTTTATATCTATTCGTATGGATTTTGTACTAGCCTTGGAAACATTTCCTAACTCTATGTGGCGGGTGATTTCATCCCTTGTATTTTCTGATCTTAATTCCTGGTGTTGTTGCTATTTGTCAGATGACCCTTATGGTGGTCCATTACACAATTGGCAACATAATGCTCCGCCACCTGGGAATCATGTAGTCTCTATGCCACCAAAACCTTCTCCTCCACCTGTTGTGGCTTCAAGGCCTCCACATTCACCAGTACAAGTTCCTTCACCCCAACCTCCACCGCCACCACCTTACATGAGCAGCAGTGGAGGCTCTGGGTCCAATTATTCAGGTGGTGAGAATCCACTTCCACCACCTTCCCCTGGCATGGGCATGGGGTTCTCAAAGAGTACTTTCTCATATGAAGAATTGGCAATGGCAACAGATGGCTTCTCAAATGCTAACCTTCTTGGACAAGGTGGTTTTGGGTATGTGCACAGGGGCGTCCTTCCTAATGGGAAAGAGGTTGCCGTTAAGCAGTTGAAAGCTGGAAGTGGGCAGGGGGAGCGGGAATTTCAGGCTGAGGTCGAAATCATAAGCCGAGTACATCACAAACATCTTGTTTCATTAGTGGGATACTGCATCACTGGATCCCAGAGAATGCTTGTTTATGAATTTGTTGCAAACAACACCTTGGAGTTCCACTTACATGGTAATTTTGTTTTCATTGTATGTATCTTCAGAATAAATCATGTTATGCTGAAACAAACTTTTACCTTTTTCAAGTTTCAATTTTTGCATGCTTAAATGTTATGGCACCCATTAATTGCTGTTTTTTTGGTGGTTTTAGGAAAGGGGAGACCTACCATGGATTGGCCTACACGATTAAAAATTGCTCTAGGATCTGCAAAAGGACTAGCATATCTGCACGAGGACTGTAAGATCCTTTTGTATATTAAAATTTTCCTTATTGTAGAAATAAGAGGAATTAGGCTACGATTTTGGGATTATTTTTTTCTGGCATTGAAATTATGTCTATGTACAGGCCATCCCAAAATCATTCATCGTGATATAAAGGCAGCCAATATTCTTCTGGATTTTAACTTTGAGTCAAAGGTAAAATTCTTTGCAGGCATGGTTTTTCTCTCTTTTTCTAGCTGATCCTTTATAAGCTTGGCTGGATATGATGTGTTTTGTTTATGCAGTATTTATCTTAATATAGTAGATCTTGAAGTTAGGCCCGCTTGTTGCCTGATTAACTACCGCTTGATTTTCGATAAGCGGTTGGCTTTCAAGCCTAAAATAATTAATTTGAAAATCAGTTTTACATGCAAAAAAGTGAATTGACTCAATTTAAATCCCAAATTACACATTGAAATTCAAAATACTCATGAGGATCTCCAAATAATCTACTTTTATATTGTGTTTATCAAGTTGATACACCTAGTTTATTTTCTCAGGTTGCAGATTTTGGACTTGCAAAGTTTTCTTCTGATGTCTATACTCATGTATCTACTAGGGTGATGGGAACTTTCGGGTAAGACCAGTACCTCTCTTCAAATATGTTGCCAGTTTTCTAGGTTGAGTTAGTAGTGATAGCGCTAAGAATGAGATGGACAACCTGCTCCCCACACCCTTCCTGTTTCTTTTGTAGCAGTTATTGCTTTCCCAAATAAAATTTCTTCAACACTTCAAGGATAGTTAACATAACTAATAGTTAATTTTCTTGATGTATTTGATTGTAGATGCTTTGTTTACATTCCAAATTTCATGTTATCAAGAACCTAACAACTTTGTATTTATTTGTGGTTCGAATATATTCTTTGGACAAATAACATTATCTTCTTCTTCTCATGTCCATGCATCTAGGTACCTGGCTCCAGAATATGCTGCTTCTGGGAAACTTACTGACAAGTCAGATGTATTCTCTTTTGGGGTCATGCTTCTGGAGTTGATTACTGGACACCGACCTGTTGATTCTACTCAAACTTACAAGGATGATAGTTTGGTAGACTGGGTGAGTGATTACTTGCACCTCTTTCCATGCAATAGCTGTGTCAAAAGTTTGGAATTTATAACTAATTGGTTTTTTGTAGTCCCCTGATGGAAGTTCTTACTTTTAAGCTTTCTTTTATCTTCTGTGGAGTCATGGAGAGCTGTGTATTTCTGACATTGATGGTGTATCAAAATTGTCTGCGATGATAGGCAAGGCCCCTGCTCACACGAGCGTTGGAAGAGGGAAACTTTGATACACTTGTCGACACACGGTTGCAAAAAGATTATAATCAGAACGAGATGGCTCGCATGGTTGCTTGTGCTGCTGCTTGTGTGCGTCATTCTGCCCGGCGTCGGCCACGAATGAGCCAGGTAATTTTTTGTTGTATTGAAGTTTAGCACTTCATTACATCTACATTTGTTTGATTTGGTTGAAAGCAAGATGTTCCAGGCAGATGAACCCCCTTAGAAGTCTATTTGGCATTTTGGGAATAAGTTTTGTCGTAGATTTTATGTAAAATCTTGCTGGAATCCAGTGCTCATTTGGTCCTTGGCTGAGACCTGAAAAATCATCTAGGAAGTGAAGTAATGTCGGCCAGTTGTAATCCACCTTGTTACTGCATATGGTCGGTCATTTTTTAATGCACCGTGTTCCAAATGCTCCTAATTTTTGAAATGATAAATAGTTTTTGAGATGGATTTTTGAAATGCATCGTGTTACAAATGCTCGAACAACCATTGTTAGGTCTGATGTTATAGGCGAGAAGACACTCATTAAACTTCGATGTTCTATGTGCAAGCTAGCTTCTAAACTATGGGTTTAAACTTGAAATTGAGCAGGTAGTCCGGGCCTTGGAAGGAGATGTTTCCCTGTCCGATCTTAACGAAGGAATCAGACCTGGACACAGCACAATGTACAGTTCTCATGGAAGTTCAGACTATGATACCACCCAATACAACGAGGACATGAAGAAATTCAGGAAGATGGCATTGGCTAGCCAAGAGTATGGCAGCAGTGAGTACAGTGGTGGTCCAACTAGTGAATATGGCTTATACCCATCTGGCTCTAGCAGCGAAGGCCAACAAACCACTCGAGAAATGGAGATGGGAAGGTTGAAGAAAGAAAGTCGAGGTTTCAGTGGAAGTTCTTGACAACTCTTTGTAAAAAACCACCCCCATTCACTAATTCTCATAACATCATTTCTATGTTGCTGCATTTTTAAAGATGGGCATGTTTTGAGTTAACATACAGTTTTTCTACCCCTGGTTTTCTTTGATTTTTCAAAAGTATTTGTTTTATTAATTGTATTTATTATGGCTGGCATACACAACGAGATAATGAGATACTGGGTCAAAATTCTTTTATTTGATTTGAGTGGCTTCTTTCAAAATTTTCTGGGTTGGAACCTTGAATATATAGCTTGTAATGTCTACATTTTTTTTTTTTTTTTAATTTAACGGTTAGGGGGTGATCAGAGTAATTTACGTGTACCTTGATTAATTTCTTATTCGGTTTCGTCAAAGGTGGTTCATTCATATTGGAACTAAAATGTGTATGAGGAATAAATTTTTTATAGTTTGATTTCAAGAGATTATTAAAATTTGAATTAAAAAAATTTAAATTTATAACTTGTATTTGTTACCGTTTGAACTATCTCTTAGAGTTAATGTCTACATACTCGACCCAACAAACTCTACATCCCAGTCACTTGGGTTGGTTACATGAATCCTGCATCTTTGTAAAATCTCATGACTGTTCTCTATAAATCTGGAACTGCCTCCACTTGTCTTCAAGTTCACATGGTGCTTGACCAGAAAACCAAATTGGATATTGATTGGCTGGCAAAGTCAAGCAAGCTTTTTGGCACACGCCTTCACTTTGAGTGGGTTAACCATATTTGCTGTGGAAGAAGCAACTCAGACAGCAGTTGATTATATTGCTCCAACCCAACTAAGTTGTTAAAAAATAATTTTTTGGTATTATATTTTTTCTTTTTATTTAATAATAACATGATGTGTAAATGTTTTTATATTGATATTTTTGTCATTAATGACTATAAATCGGTCAAACAAATTTACCACCGTGGATCAATTTGGGTGTACTGTGGTCATGTCTTGATTTTTGCACATGGCTTTGATTCTTCATTTGTTCTTTTTGGTGGGTTGTCCGTGGGCAGGTGAACATTTTTGTGGATTCTTCTTAAGTCCAGGTTGGGCCCACATTTTTTCTTTATTCATGTCGGCAACTGTTAGCCAGATGCACACTTGGGGGAATAAGTATAAGTATATATGCATTAAATATTGAGTTTAAATCCTTGACAGTTTTTGAGCAATTGGACCACCGTATGAATGTACTATATAGGAAAGTTTTAATTACAGTCATTCAAAAGAAAAATCTTAAGCTTAGGTTGGGGGGGGGGGGGGGGGGGGAGGGAAGCCGATCCAATCCAATAGAAGAGAATTAGATAATTGAGCGGCGGGGGGAGGGAAGCCGATCCAATCCAATAGAAGAGAATTAGATAATTGAGCGGCTACCACCCAATGAGCTGCCTTATTGTAGGCTCTAAGCTTGTATAAAAAGTTAAGATTTTGAATCCTAGCAAAATGTTTAATATCACTAATAATTACACTTATCTCCCATGACGGAACATCCTCAGTAGAGCTAAGCTTGATTACTCTAAGACAATCATTCAAGATTGTTGCATTAGTAGCCAGTTGGGCCTCAGCAAGGAGACAAGCCTATCACACAGCCTCTACTTCCGCAATCAAACTTGAACTTGCATGGAAAGACTTGGCACTGTCAAAGACAATCTCCCCCATCCTTCCAAGCCACCACCCCACAAGCTGCCATGGAAGACCCCGAGAAAAAGGCTCCATCACATGCAATCATGGTTTCGGACACATCAGGTTGAGGCTCTACATCACGCCCCTGAGAGACCATAGGTTTAATCTAATCCGAAGCAGGCACCAACAAAACCCGTTCATTCCACATACCCTGGGCCTTGACAACAGTAGCTAAGGCATCAACCGCAACACCATTGCAAATGAAGTTATTCCTCGCCCTCCAGATATGCCAAACGACCCAGCGCATCAAGGCCCCCTTGGCCAAAACCAACAAGATGTAAAAGCAAAAAGGATCTGCAAACCACAGACAAAAAGGAAGAAGAGTTTCATTGGATAAAAAGATCCATTCCAAACCACACACGGCTAGTCCAGCCACATTCGAATAGAAGGTGCTCAATTGATTCAGGAGCAGACAAATAGATCTGACAGAGAGGGGAAGAGGCGCACTTCCTCCTAAAAAGGTTATCCTGTGTAGCAAGGGAGTTATGGCAAGCTCTCCACCAGAAGTGCCTCACCTTCGGGGCAGCAGTCATACGCCAGAGACACTTCCAAAACTGAGACGAGGTAGGGACTGAAGAGCCAACCGTATGAGGGACAGTCGTTTGCAACCTACCCAAATGATAGGCAAGCCGCACTGTAAAAGCCCCATTCCGATTAGTCCACCAAATTCGTTAATCAGTACCCCTATTAAAAGGAAGAGGAAGAGGAATGGCTTGGATAACATTCAATTCATCCTTGGAGATAACAGAGGAAAGCCTGGGGATGTTCCATCGCATGGGATTCGGCCGGATGAAATTAGCCACCTTTAGCAAAGAGCAATCCAAGGGCTTTTTAGAGCCAACAGACTTGCTGGAGAGTGTAGAGATCCATTTATTCTGCCAAAACAAGACATCTTTGCCGTCACCAATTTGCCAGCAAAGACCCTTGGCCAGCTGCTCTCTGCCATAAAACAAGCTCTTCCATACCCAAGAAGGTCTAGATCCATATGAAGCCTACATAAAATCAACCTCGGAAAAGTAAATCGCCTTCATAAACCTGGACCAGAAGGAGTTCGGCTGCACAAGTAAGCGCCAACATTATTTGCCAAGCAGGGATTGATTGAGCAATTTGAAGTTCTTAAAACCCATGCCACCAACAACCTTAGGAATAGTCATCTTATCCCAACTCCTCCAACAGACACCCGAATTTTTATCAGGTGCATTCCACCAAAATTTTTGCACATAGCAATCAAGCTTCGCATAAAAGTTTTTAGGAAAAGCCACCACGTACATGGCATAATTGGGAATGACTTGGATGACAGCCTTAATAAGGACCCCTTACCCGCTACAGAGAGGCAGGAGCTTTTCCATCCCTGAAGATGCTTTGCAATTCGTTCAAGCAAATAGCTAAAAACTTCCTTTTTAAAACGTCCCCAAACAATAGGTATACCCAAGTATTTAGCACAATGGGGGAGGGACTGCATTCCCAAAAGATGGCATATGGAAGATCTTTGATCGGGAGAGGTGTTGGTTGAGAAAACAATACCAGATTTTTGGTAATTCGCCTGTTGACCTGAGGCCACACAGAAACAATGAAGTAAACACAGCAATTCCTCAAGCCCTCCCCTCTTAGCCTTGATAAAAAATAGAGAATCATCAACAAAAAAGAGATGGGAACACAGCCGGGCTTCGCCTTTTTACTTTAATCCTAGACAGCCCTCCATCGTTAGCCCTTTTCAAAATCAAAGCAGAGAGAACATCGGCTACAAGAATGAATAGATAAGGGGAAAGAGGGTCGCCTTGTCTAAGGCCCCTAGATGGAGAGAGCTGACAACTATAAAAACCATTTAAAACGAATTGGAAAGAGACCGTACATTGCATAATGAGGCCCACCCAACGACGTTCGAAACCCATGCGAAGCATAAGGGCCTCCAGAAAATCTCATTCAACTCTATCGTACGCCTTTCCAATATCCATTTTGATTGCCACCTCCGGAATAACACCCTTCCTTTTCCCTTTGAGATGGTGGAACAATTCATTCGCAATCCCAATACTATCTTGGATTAGCCTATTCGGGACAAAGGCCGCCTGATTAGGGGAGACCAAGGAACCCAACAAAGCTTTCAATATATTAGCAAGCACTTTAGAGATAATCTTATACAAAAAATTACAAAAAGTAATGGGGCGAAACTGGGATAAAAATTTAGGGGCTGGGTCTTTGGGGATAAGGACCACATTGGTACAATTAAGGTCCCAATGTAGCAGGCCAGATGCAAAAAAATACTTCACCACATTAACAACATCATCCTTTACAACATGCCAAAACCTTTGAAAAAAAAACCTAGGGAAGTCGTCCGAGCCAGTGGCTTTAAGAGAACCCAACTCCTGAACAGCACCAAAAACCTCCGCTTCAGAGATAGGATTCAACAACAAAGAGTTCATGTCCCCTGTAACCTTGCAATCAATCGCAGATAGAGTCTCCCCCCAATCCCTAACCCTCATGGTAGAATACAAATCAGAAAAGTAATTATAGATAAGGACCTTCAAGTCATCAATCCCCTCAACCCAATTCTTTTCATCAGACTTGAGTCTCAGAATATGGTTACGGTTTCTTCTTTGCATAGCAGTCATGTGAAAAAATCTTATGTTATGGTCCCCATCTGTGAACCAACTGATTCTTGATCATTGCAACCAAAATATGAGAACAGAGCTCAGCTTCCAGTACAAATGTCTCCTCAGATGGTTCTAGCCCTTGAACATAAGAGAGTTCACCCAACAGATGTTGAATGACCTTCTTTGAATGACCAAATTTATGTTTGCTCCAGGCAGAGAGACGTTGCCTACATAAATTCAGATTAGAAATAGCATTAAGCATTGTTGAAGACCGAGCCCCACCGGACTAGCAGCTTTTAATCACATCTGCACATTTAGGATCGTCCAACCACATGAATTCAAACCGAAAATGATACGCAACCCTCTTCTGATTAACACCAAGATCAATCACAAAAGGGCTATGATCGGACCCCATTCGTACCTCGTGGAGAACGTGGATGAAAGGGAAAAGGGAGCTCCATTCTAGATTAGTCAACGCTCGATCAAGCCTTTCCTAGACATTTGCAGACCCTGGTCTATTATTGGACCAGGTAAAACGAGGACCACAAAAGCTCACTTCCACCAGTCTACAATTAGATATTAGTTTTTGAAGTTCCTCAATTCTCCGAATATAACACACATTACCACCTTCCTTGTCCCCCAAAGATCCAATCACATTAAAATCCCCTGCCATCAGCCAAGGCAAATTAGAAGAGCGAGTCAACGAAATCAACTTGGCCCATAATCCTTGTCTAGTTTCAAACTTCGAATCTGCATAAATGAAAGTGCATTGCCATAAAGAAGGATGACTGAAAAGTCTACACCGAACGTGTATCATGTTCTTATTTTTCTCAGCAACATGGAGGTCAAATCCCTCCCTCCACTAAAGGGTCAGTCCACCCGAAAGACCAATAGGATCCATATAATCAAAAAACTAGAATTTGAGAGATCTTCTCAACCGTTCTAACTTATGAGACTTATTTTTGGTCTCCATAAGAAAAATGATTGAG